TTTGGAGGCTAAACAGGAGGATCTCTTTACAGCATTGATTGTAATAATGATTTTACAAGTATGTACTTATTTCCAAACCAACTTGTATACTAAAAATGTTCAACATGTATATTTTTAAAAAGCATTGTATCCTACTCTTGGTATACCCTAATTTCTACAACTGTAGCCCTGTTGGGTATCTCCAAAGTTTTCCTTTTGGTGCTACAAACCATGATGCTCACTGAGCAGCTGTTGGAGTGAATCCCTTGTGCCAATTATTAGCACTCTGTAATGAATCAAAGAGATAATGTGTAGAGGTGTTTTTAGAGCTAATACAAGATCTTCCTCTTCAGTTCTTATTACAACTTCAATATCCCATACCTTTACCAACCATGTTCCAGCCTTTTCATCTCTGATACATCAAAGCAGTCTCAGATTACAGACTTCTGAAACCAAATATCAAAAGTCTTAAGGGCATGTTCTTAGATCAGAAAATTTCCTTCTAGTATGTATCTTAGGAAAGAACATAGGATAGGGGGTAAGGTGTTCACTGCAGCCAGTTTAGTGGGCTTCCACCTAAATGCACTTAACACTCTTCTTTTCGGGGCAGGCCAAGGTCACAGGTACCTGGCCAACTGCATAGATTAGAGGCCCTGGGGGTGCTTCCAGCGATAATGTAGTAGCACTTGTTTGCCTGAATGTATTTCCTCTAAGAGAAATATATGGGGCCTACTCTGGCTAATGCAGATGTCCAGGCTCTGCCCTAGAGAGGTGACCAGCCTGGGGAAAAGTTGATAATAATGCAGTTTTAGGATTTCATTTTTTTAATATGGGGAGAAGACATGCCGTGCAATTCCCAAGGATTTTCCCCCATTTCCTGAAGCAGAAGTGCAGGGCAGGTCCTAAAAGTGGAACCCCTTCCTTCACAAACGGCTGAAAGTTGGGAGTTTGGGCAGTGGGGCCAAAAGGGTAGGATGGCTTTCTCCTTGGACTGTGTTCCCACAACCAGGAACTGCTGATACCTGACCCAGGGAGTACCCAGGAGGGATTCAGAATACTGAAAACTGGAACCTCTGAGGAGATTTGAAGGAGCCCAGCAAAAACTACAAAAGAGACTAATCTCCCTGGCATTACTGTATGCAGATACTCCTGCTTGTAACTGGAAAGGAGGATGGTTCTCCCATTTGCCAAATGCTAGACTTATAGATGGGCCAGTGGGACAGTTCACCCAGCCTGAGGTTTTTTGGTTTGTTTTAAATTTRTTCTAATTAGTGATATATGACAGTAGAATGAATTTTGACACATTGTTCACAAATAAAGCACAACTTCTCATTCTCTGGCTGTACATGGTGCCAAGTCACACCGGTAATGTAGTCATACATGCATAGAGGGTAATAATGTCCATCTCATTCCAGCGCCCTTCCCACCCCCATATTCCTTCCCCTCTCCCTTCCCAATCCAAAGTTCCTCCATTCTTCCCTACTCAACCCCTATTATGGGTCAACATCCACTTATTAGAGAAGACATTTCACCTTTGGTTTTTTGGTTTTGGTTTATCTTGCTTAGCATGATATTCTCCAGCTCCATCCAATTACCTGCAAATGCCATAATTTCTTCTTTAACCACCTGAGGTTTTTAACAAAGTACAGCAATGGGAACTTTTTTTACTTGTCTTTGCCCCATCCCCTTTTATTTTTCTGATCTAACAAACGAGGAACCTAGAGAAAAACCATCTAGGTTTTAGCATGGGATGTCCCMTTTGAGATGAATGATGAACGTCAGTCATCTCAAATCTCCTCACAAGCTTCCTGAGTTAAGATGTACCTGCCAGGTTTCTCTACCATAGTTTTTCATTACCTTTACAACTTCAGTGCAGGTTGGGCTTCTGATAGCATTGTGCAGGTATAGCTGAGCACTGACCAGCATCCAGTCTTAAGCTTGTTGAATGGCCTATGCAGCAAGCACTCTGAGCTCAAGAGTGATAACAGCTCTCACTGCTGGTATCAGGAAACAGGAGGACCATCTGCAGCAGCAAATTTGATAGCAAGAAACTGTACTACTCTGGGAGAAAGGAGTCATGGGGTTGGCCAAGGCTACTGGGGAAAGTCTGTGGGATCTTACCATCTCCCATACCCATCCTGAGCTGAACAGAGAGCAGACCAGGAACACTGGGATGCTGGGAAGGCATGGAGGGACAGTTAAGCATCAAGAGGGCAAACAGACCGAACAAGAGAGGTCGTGAAGTGAAGGTGGACTTCTGACCAGAAAGGACAGACACCCAACCCAGCTGATACCACAAGTAAATGTTCACAGGCCACAAGGCAGTTTTTGGCTAGTCCCTCAGATCCTCAGCCAGATAGGCAAAAAGCTCTCTCAATAGAAAGCCAACCAACCAGGCAAGACTTTTGGGTGAACAGGCAAAATCCCAGGGAAAACAGACTCCCAGCTGAACAGATAGCCAGACAAATGGGGAGATTCCTGGGTGGGTGGGAGAAAAAAAAAATCAACCSGACATCCAGATAGACCTGTGGCCAGAAAGAAATATGGACCATGTCTCCCCAGTTTATTGAAAGGTGGACCTCAGTCAAGCAGAAAACAGAACCCCTCCCCTTAAATGGACAAAGATGTTATCTCAGTGGAAAGCTGACCCACCCAGTAGGCCTTCAGCTGGACAGAAAGGCTTACTCTCCCCAGTAAGAGAGACATTGGCCTGAAAATGATACCCTCAGCAGGATCCAATTTTCTAGACAGACAGATCCTGCCAAGTCTTCCCAGTCAGGCAAACAGACTTAGCCCTATTTGAACAGAAAATCCCTAACTAGCCAGCAATCACTAGGTCAGTCTTCCTGTCCCTTGCTTACCACCAAAGATATGCCAGTGACCCTTCACTGTTACCACTCCTTCCAGGCACCACCCAGTCTTCAGTGACCACTGATCTATATCACAATAGTCCACAGAGACCTTTCATGATACCTCAATTACTTGCCCATAAAATAACTCACACCTCCATGACTCCCCCAGAAAATCTTTTTCTACAAGTTCACAATATTGTGTGCCACCCYACTGAGACCAGCAACCAATGCCCATCCACGAAACAAATGATTCCACTGGCATTYACTAATACTGAGCAGGAGGGGCTGGGGTTGTGGCTAGACGGTAGAGCACTCACCAATCAAATCACTGGGTTTGATTCTCAGCAGCACATAAAAATAAATAAATAGAGGCATTGTGTCCACCTACAACTAAAAAAAATTTTTTTTAAACAAATACTGAGCAGGAACTATTCATCACTTGTCTAATTTCTAAATCCTCAGTAATTAAAAATAATATTCCAAATCCCAATAGTCCCATCAGGGCTAGGCACTTTCTTGCCCCCCCAAAACCACTGACCTTCCAGTGATTATAATTAACACCCTATGGCTTCATTAGAACACTCAAAAAAGATGGAATTGCTAAATATTAAACACTAACTGGAGGGGACTCCCAGTGACCCCACAATAAGCAGAACAACTCCACTTGTTTGAAGACTCACTTTGATCTCTCACTTAAGCCACAGCCAGCAAACTAGTCTGCAGACCACACACACAAAAAAAAATTTTAAAYTTAAATATCTGTTTTCATAGCAGAGGGAAGCAGCTGGGACAAGAGAACAGAGAAAGCAAAGCCACTTCCTATCTGGCCTTTTGAAAGTTTTCTAATCCCTAAGGAAAGGAGGGAAAGGGAAGGTACTGGGGAATGAGAATGATCAAATTGTGTGCATATAGGAATATGGCACAATGAGTCCYATTATTATGCATAATTATACTWCACCAATTAAAATATTTGTTCATCCCTGACAACCATGATTTGTAATGAATTGAATTGACAACCTGTTAATAATGATCTTGTTGACCTTTCAGTGTCTTGTCCTGTCCCAGTGACACTTTGACACCTCAACCACCTCAAACTGACCTCCACTGATGATGCCCGCTCCAATGACTCCCCTTGAAATTCTTCCATAACCCCAGCGACAGATCTACCCAAGCCTTCTACCCAAGCCTGTTCTTTCAGGCTCCTTGGCACCCAACCACTCTCTCCTTCCTCCCCTCCAAGACCTAGGAAGCAGGGACAGCAGCTATTTCTCCATCCTGACCTTCCAGTGATTATACATCCTGTACATTTTCTGATGTGGCAACAGAAAAAGCAGCTCCTTTAAAGGGGTTGAGAACTCCTATCCTCTAGAACGCATTTCCAGTGCCTCAATTCTGTTTCCCTGGCAGGTTTGTGAGGATCAAGATTCTCAAGTTAAAACTGGATCCTTCTGTCCTCCAGCCCTTCCCAGCCGGTCTCGGAATAGGAAAAACCTGAGGAAATACAGATATAGAAACTTCCATCTCCACTCGCTTTTTCCAAAGTACCATTGGCCTGATAATCATTCCTCCTCGCGGTCTCCCCACCCGGACCTTCTTTGGACCCAAATGGAGCATACTGAGCGGGACATCCCGTGCTAAAGTTCCCCGGGGTGGGGAGAAGTAGCGTGATCTCGGCGACCATCTCTACTGATGGCTGCTTCACTACCCTGTTTTGGTCCTCAATGCAGCCTGACTCCCAGGAGACCTGGTCCGAGACCTGGTTTCATCCGCTCAGAACCTGACTAGTCACAGAGGAGGGGCGAAGATCCGTAATTCAAGGGGGAGAGGAAGTGACAATAGGATAGTACCGACTAAACCAGCAGAAGCAGCAATCAAAAAAGAAAAAAAAAAAAAAAAACGGAGAGAAGCGCTAGAGCTGTACTCACCAATCCAACGCTCAAGGACCTAAGGCTCCAGCAGCCAGAGCAGCTCAGGTGCTGTGGGCGGGGCAGGGCGAGTTTCGAATGCCATTGGCTCCAGGGTGCGCCTTGCCAGCTGTCGCCCGTCTTCCAATKGTTGGTTACAACGAAGGCGGAGCCTCGGCAGCCTTCCTCCGCCTCCCTCAGTGTCTACACTCGCTGGTAGCGCTGAGCGCAACTACTGGACSGGACCTTTCGGGCMGACGGTGCCATGAGCCACAATTTGGACGCGGCGCGGAGCTTCCTGGAGCAGCTGGAGGAACAGAGCGGCCTGAAGGGGGAGGTTCTGGCGGTGGAGTTCAGTGTGAGTGGGTGAATGTGTACAACTGGGAGGCGCGTTTCGGCTCCTTACCCTGGACGGTCCCCACGTCTRTCCTGTGCACTTTGTAGGCTCTGGCTGTCCTGGGTTGTCTCCCTGCCTTGAGGTCTCTTGTTTTCCTTTCCCTCACACCCCTAGCTCTCTCGCGCTGTCTTCGGCCTGCCTACAGGTCCCCAGAGARCAAAGTCCACGGCCCGCTTGGAGGGTTCATACACACTCGGGACCCAGTGTCCTGGTCGCACTTGGGGAACAATGCCCCTGTTGGGCAGGGCAGGCCACGCAGGTGCAGTRGAAGAGGGCGATGGCACACCTGCACTGGAAGTCCCACACCCAGGCTACACCTGACGACCTGGGTCACCCTGTGATTCCGAGGAGGAAGAGGAACAGGGAGGCTCTAATGCGGAGTGGATGAAGGACGTGGGTGAAGGACACCGATAGCCAGGGCTTTTYGGATCCCTCTGGTCTCAGCCTCCTTGTTGAAGTGGGGACGTTAATGACCAAACTGAGAATTAAAAAGTGTAGGTAAAAGTGCCTAGCATATCTTTGGGGCCCACTTCCTAGGTGCCTKTGTCACGACTTAAAAGATTCTAAATATTTCAATAAGGGTAATACAATCAAAGCTTAACGCTAGAGTAAGAAGCACCCTAGGCATGAGCATACTACAGGCAATAAAATATTTAAAATGTAACTTACATACCAAACATAGAAACATACTTACTGTACAAATACTCAAACCTGATATATGATGGTATGTATCAAATTTAGAAATATGTAATATATAAATGTATAAAAATAAATGTGAGTTTTAAAAGGTGATTTACACAACAAACATCACATAACTTCAAAAAACAATACAACAAATATAAATCTAATAAACACCAAAGTTATTCAATGAATTTGTGAGTAAATATAAAATAAGGAGTGRACGTAAGTATRAAATATAAATAAATCTAAATAACTTACACATGTWAAAATTCTGTAGTATATAAGAAATAGAGTAAATGTAAAATATATAATTTATAAATATAAAAATATACGTAAACATATAATATCCATGTGGTATATAACCACTACAGAGTCAATGAAGCGAGCTTTGCTGAGGGCCCCAAAGTGAAACGCTGGGTGGTGAGGGTATCCTTGTCACAATCCTGACTTCTGCACTCCCAGGCCTTGGTTTCTCATCTGTGTAGTAGAAATTCCTATTAGCRGTGCCCACTACAGAATGGTGACCATCAGGGCTTAAATTACTGATGAGCATAAGTAAAGCATTTGGAAAGGTGACCACTTGTGATGGTGGCTTGGAAGGTATTATTTGTTATCATTATGGTTAGGAATAACCTGATAATCTACCAATAAGAAGTTACCTATGGGGTCTTATTACATAAATAGTGTACATTACAATTCACATATATTGTAAATTATTTTATTATATTAAATAATACATATTTCATTCCAATTATTATTGCTTACAATACAGCATAAGGCAGACTACCCAGGTGCAGTGGCTCACACATGTAATCCTTTTGACTCCAGAGGCTGATGCAAAAGGATTGCAAGTTTGAGGCCAGCCTGGGTAACTTAGGGAGACCCTGTCTCAAAATTTAAAAAATAATAATAAAAAGGATTGGGGATGTAGCTCAGTGGTAGAGTGCCCCTGGGTGCAATCCCCAGTACAGAAATGGGGGGGGGGGAGTACATGATAAAAATACTGATTTGAGTGTGCAGGGGCTAAATCTGGGTTCTTTGCCAAAGCCTCCTGGGTGGGACCTTTGGCAAGTSCCTCAGGCATGTGTGAATTAACTTTCTTATCTGCACAGTGAGGATGCAATAACAGCACCCACTTCAAAGGGACCTTGTGATGATTAAATGACCTGAGCAGAGCTTAGCACAAAGAAGGGTTCTGGTCGCTGTTATTATTGTACTGTTGTTATTATTAGGCTTATGCCTCTTGGAGTCTGCACTCACTACCCTTCCTCCACCCCCTCACCACCACCACCACCCCAGACCATTGCCTTGAATTCCAAGTGTCTTCTTGTCCCAGGACTCTGACCTGGCTCCTCTTTTCCATTTCCTGCATTCCCTGTTGCCTCACTGTGCCTCCCACCAGGACATCCTAGTCCGCTCAGCTGCCTGGAAGGCTGATGGGGTGCGCTCCACCGAGGTTGGCAGTCGGCCAGAGAATATACAGAAGAACCGCTACAAAGATGTGGTGCCATGTAAGTAGGAGGGCTTCTATGAGCAGTCCGTGGCTCCACACACACCCTCAGGCCACGGTGGGCCCTTAATGTGCTCCCCGCTTATCTACTTGGCCCCCGGAGACTGCCTCCCAGAATTTTCAGGTGGCTGCATTGCAGCAAACAACACACGAGGGGTACCTGGGGCAGACCCTTGAGAGTCTGCGGCGTTGTGGGGAGGGGCATGCGGGTTTCATCCAAGGGGCTGTCTGAGCCTAGACACACTTGTCGCCTTCAATTCCACGTTTCTCGCCTCCCCCACTGGCAGATGATCAGACGCGCGTGATCCTCTCCCTGCTCCAGGAGGAAGGGCACGGCGACTACATCAATGGCAATTTCATCCAGGTCAGGATGGTGGTCAGAAAAGGGGGCAGATTGGGGTTGGTGGAGGTTGGCAGTGGAATCTCAACGGGGAATGGGCCTTTCCCAGGGCGCAGATGGAAACCTGTCCTACATCGCCACGCAAGGACCCCTGCCTCACACTCTGCTAGACTTCTGGCGCCTGGTCTGGGAGTTTGAGATCAAGGTCAGCTTGGGGGAGGAAAACAAGGTTCTGAGTTTCCACTAACCCAAGTCACCTCCATCTCGGTTTACTCTTTTTGTCTAGGTGATCCTGATGGCATGTCGAGAGACAGAGAATGGGCGGGTAGGTGTCCTCAGTCCCCAGAGTGATTGACTCTTACTAACTCCTCCCTAACCCAGAACCCAGTGGAAGTGATGTCACTGGGACTCAGTGAGAACCCACTGCTTCTCTCTAATCTTGCCTTGATCTTTTTTCCTTCTGTTCATGGGGCTCATTTCCCACAGTGTTGTTTACCCCTCTCCTGCTGGGCTTCCCACCCATACCACCTCACAGAGCATGACACTTTATGCTGACCATTTCCTTCGTAGAGCTGTGATCTCTATTTTTACTTCTCTTTATTCACTCCCCTCAAACCACACTGGCTCTATTGCTCAGCTGTACCTCAGGCTTGTGCCTTGACCATTATATTATCTCTGCCTGGAACCTTCTTCCCCATCAACTCCTTCAAGCCTTCACTTCCTCAGTGAGACCCTCATGTACGGTCACACCATTTCAGACTCCAGCATTCCCATTGTCCTAGGTGCCATTTTCCTTCACAGTTCTTAACAACTTCTAACACACTAGATAATACTAAACATGAAATACACTCCACAATGTGCTATTATTTTAGTTTTCAATTACCTTTTTAAACCACTTTATTTAGTTATGATTCACCCACTTAAAATGTACGATTGTTTTTAGTGTATTCCTGATGATTACACAACCATTCCCATAAGAAATTTTAGAACATTTTCATCAGCCCACAAGCAGTCACTGCCCATTTCCTAACAATCTCTAGAGCCCCAAGCAACTCCTAATCTACTTTTGGCCTGGTATAGATTTGCCTTCTCTGATATTGCATATAAATGGAATCAAAYAGTGGTCTTTTGTTACTGGTATTTCATTTAGCATGTTTTTAATATTCATGCATACTGTAGCATGTGTCAATACTTCCTTTTATTGCTGAATAATATCCTATTGACTGTATCTATCACATTTTGCTTATCCAATAAGCCATTTATTTCTACTTTTGGGCTATTAGGAATAATGCTACCATGAACCATTTACATACAAGTCTTTGTGTAAACATATATTTTCATCTCTCTTGAATATGTACCAAGTGGTAGAATTGCTAGGTCATATGGTAACTCTATTTTTAACATTTTGAGGAAGTGACAAACCATTTCCTATAATATAACTACATCAATTTACCTTCCCACCAGCAAAGTATTATGTCTCTAATTTCTTCACATCCTCACCATTTGCCCTTTATTATTATTATTATAGCCATCCTAGGAAATGGTATCCCACTGTGTAATGGTATCCCATCATGGTAAAATACATGTAAAATTTGCCCCCTAACCATTTAAAGTGTACAACTCAATTGCAGTAAGTACATGCACATTGTTGGGCAACCATCAACCACTATCCAGTACCACAACCTGTTCTTCATCCCAAACATAAATTCTGTATCCAAACATAAATTCTATATCTATTAAACAACTTYCCACTCTCCTTCTCCCAGATCCTGGTCTCCTCTAACTTTTATTTACTTATTGGTGGTACTTGGGATTGAACCCAGGGTCTTGTGCATATGAGGCAAACACTCTACCAACTGAGCTACATGCCCGGCCTATTCTTCTATTTTTTTTTTTTTTAAAAGAGAGAGAGAGAGAGAGAGAGAGGAGAGAAAGAATTTTAACATTTATTTTTTAGTTTTCGGCGGACACAACATCTTTGTTTGTATGTGGTGCTGAGGATCGAACCTGGGCCACACGCATGCTAGGCGAGCGCGCTACCGCTTGAGCCACATCCCCAGCCCCTTTTCTGTCCTTCTTAAYTTGCCTATTCTAGGTGCATAATGTAAGTGGAATCACAATACTCATCCTTTTTTGTTTGTTTGTTTCTTCCTCCCTCCCCTACCACCCAGGCACCATCTCTTTTTCTTAATTGTACTGTATAGAATTTCCAGTACAAAGTTGAGTACAAGTAGCGAGTGCTACTTTTCTTCTTCTTATGCTTTAGTCTCCCACCATTAAATATGAGGTTATCTGTGGATTTTTTTGTAGTTATTTATCACATTGAGGAATTTCCTTTCTGTTCCTAGTTTCTTTCATGTTCTTATCATGAAGGGGTGCTGAGTTTTGTCAGATTCTCCCCCCACCACATCTATTCAGATGATCGTGGGTGGGTTTTGTAGTTTATTAATTTGCCATATGACATTTTCTTTTTACATCTAGTCTTTTATCTACCTTTTTCTTTGCTCTTTATTATTTTAGATATCATTTTGGCAACAGGTTCCTTTTGTATGAAGAGCTTACTTCAATTTTTCTCTCATAGTGCAGTTCTACTTACAATAAACTTTCTCAGCTTTTATTAGCCTGAAAAGGTGTTTGGGTTTTATTGTTTTTTGTTGTTGTTGTTTGTTTTTGGTTTTGATTGTTTTATTTTATTGTGGTGCTGGGACCAGTACCTTGTACATGCTAGGCAAGCACTCTACCACTGAGCTACACTCCAGCCCTTGGTTTTCCCCCTGCTTTTTTTTTTTTTTTTTTTTTTTTTATCCCCCCAGCATTTTAGGATGTTAGATAGACCTTTGACTTCTGGCTTTCAGTTTTTGAAAACATTTTGCYGTCATTCTTTTTTTTTTTTAATTTTTATTATTGGTTGTTCAAAACATTACAAAGCTCTTGACATATAATATTTCATTCRTTTGATTTAAGTGGGTTATGAACTCCCATTTTTACCCTGTATACAGATTGCAGAATCACATCGGTTACACATCCACGTTTTTACATACTGCCATACTAGTGTCTGTTGTATTCTGCTGCCTTTCCTATCCGCCCTCCCCTCCCCTCCCCTCCCATCTTCTCTCTCTACCCCATCTACTGTAATTCATTCCTCCCCCTTGTACTGTTTTTCCCTTTCCCCTCACTTCCTCTTATATGTAATTTTGTATAACCCTGAGGGTCTCCTTCCATTTCCATGCAATTTCCCTTCTCTCTTCCTTCCCTCCCACCTCTCATCCCTGTTTAATGGTGATCTTCTTCTCATGCTCTTCCTTCCTGCTGTCATTCTTATCTTTGTTCATCAGTGCACTTTTATGTGATGATTTTAACATTTTCTCTTTATAACTGTTTTTCAGCAATTCAGTCATAATCTTCCTTGGTACAGCTTTATGTATTGTCCTTGTAGTTTACTGACTTTCTTGGATCTGTAARTTCATTATTTCCTAATATTTTGGAAAAATCTTAGTTATTATTTCTTCAAATATAGTTTCTGTTCTCCCCTCTCTCCTTCCCTTTGGGATTCTAGGCATACATATATTAGGCCTTTTGGTGTATTTCCACAGGGAACTCATTCTGTATTTACTTTTCTCCAATCTCTTTTTCATTTCAAATAGTTACTATTGTTATACTTCCATGTTCACTGAACTTTTCCTTCTGTTGTCTAATCTGCTAYTAGTAAATTCTGCATTTTTTATATTTTATTTTTCCTCTGTAGAAGTTCCATTTAGGTTTTTTTTTTTGTATTTTTCATTTCATTCTTCATCATGTTTGCTTTCCATTTCACCTTTTGAGTATATTTATAACATTTATAAGAGCTATTTTAAGGTCTTTGCTTCTTTCCTCATCTGTTATTTCTGGGCCTCTTTCTGTTAGACTGATTTTTTTCTCCTGATTTTTATAGTGTGCRTTTTCCTGTTTCTTTGTATGTCAAGTAAATTTTTATCAGATGCTTGATATTGAGTTTTACACAAGTAAGTGTTGGATTCTGTTTTCTTCCTTTAAAGAAGATTTTGCTTTTTCAGAAAAGCAGTTAAGTTTCTTTTAGAACTTAACTTTCTTTCATTCGAAGGTTTTCAGTTTTAGAGGATACTGGAGATTAAACCTAGAACTTCACACATGCTAACATGCACTTTACCACTGATCTATACCTCCAGCCCTGAGTTTTGTTTTTAAGCTTTTAGGGCAGGTCTAGGGTAACCTTTATTCTAGAATTAAYTTGGCTCTGCTTTGAATGTGTGATTACTTCTGGGAGCCCTACTGAATGAAGGTCTTTCTATTCTGGCTGAAGAGAATGTAAATTACTTCTGTCCCATTGTGAACTCTAGGAAATATTCATCCTACAGATGCTTACTCTTTCATGAGAAGTTTTTCTTGCTTGGTTATACATTCTCAGATCTTTATTCAGCCAAAGACTGAAGGTGGGGGGGACTATACATATTTCTGGAGCAGGTTTGTTTCTGTTTTTGTTTTTTTCTGCTTTTGTTTGTTTGCATGGTTCTTTCCAGAACTTTGTTCTGAAAATTCTACCTTGATCTACCTCAGCCATGATCTCTGACTTTTCAATTCAGTGGAATCACTGGGCTCTTCATGTCCTTCTGACTAGTAATGCCTCCRGGCAGTCTGTTTAGTGACCACAGTCCTGCAACACATAGCAACCAATTATGGACAACAATGGCTCATGCATTTCATCTAGCTTTTTAGCCTCTTGTAGTTGGAGGGTATCCTGGACTGCCTTTCTCCTGCAGGGCCAACAACTCACCTCCGTGGGGCCTGCACATGTTTAATGAGATGGCTCTGTGGCTAGCCTCCATTTCAGCTGCAGCTGCCTGCACTTCTACCAGCAACACCTGAGGTGTTCAGTGGCAGCTGGAACTCTGAAGCTGACTCCCCCTCCTCACTTCCTGTCCTTCCTCCCTTACTTTTGCAGAAAAAGTGTGAGCGTTACTGGGCCCAGGAGCACAAGCCATTGCAGATTGGGTTTTTCTGTATCACCCTGGTGAGCTGGGGCAGCAGTGGGAACAGGGTTCTACGGGCCTTGGGTATTATGGGAGGTTTCAAGAAAGAAACACAGGTGGTAAATATTTGGGCTGGGCGCAGAAGGATGAATCATTTTACCACAGTCACCTTACACTCTGCAATTCTCAAGAGAATGCTCTGGTGTCAGCATGTAAATGATCAAAACTCAATATATGTGTGTTGCCCAAGCATTTTTTTTCTCTCTCTCTCTTCCCAGTGCTGGGAATGGAATCCTGGTCCTCRGGCATGCTAAGCAAGCACTCTAAAACTGAGTTGCAACTCCAAACCCTAGCATTATTTTGGCTCAGATCATTTGTCTTTGTAATGTAAATGTGCCTAGTCATGTTCCTCAAATCTATTTTTTTAACTTTTTTTTTTTTTTATGGTGCTGGGGTTTGAACCAGAGCAATGTGCATGTGAGGCAAGCATTCTACTAACTGAGCTATATCTCCAGCCCCCCCCCCCTTTTTTTACCATTTAAAAAAAACTCAGGACAATCTCTCAAGTCACATATGTTTAATAAATACATGGTGCTTAATAAACAAATATAATGAAACTGTTTTGCTTTAGAACCAAAAAATCTCTTGTTTTCTATAAAGCAGGGCTTGTTTGGGTTTGTGTAATCCTCATTCTCCCCTCTCTCAAACGTTTCCTTCATGACAGCTTTGGAGGATGTTTGGATTAAATTAGTTTTTTAAATGTTTTAAATTCAATATCTCATCAAAAATGTTTTGTATAAATGTGTTTGGGGGCACATTTGTTCTCCCTCTTCTTTTTTCTTCCTCTTCCCACTTACTCCACATACTCAGACAAAGGAGACACAGTTGAAAGCAGATATCATTCTTAGGACCCTTCAAGTCACATTCCAGAAGGTATGAAAGGGGAAGAGGTGGTGAAGGGGCTCTTGCATGGGGAGAACCGTTTCCTGCTCTGTAAAATGGGCACTCACAATAGTATACTCCTCAGTTATTATYGTATGATTTGTTTTTTTAAATCTTTGTGGTACTGAGGATGGAACCAGGGTCTTGCCTATGCTACATCCCCACCAGCTATAGCCCCAGCCCTATCTGGTGGATATAAATGGAAGATGATTCTAGCAGGCCTGGCAAGTAGTAGATGCCCAATAAATGCTTTTTCTATTTTCTATTCCTACCTCAGGAATCCCGTTCTGTACACCAGCTGCAATATATGTCCTGGCCAGACCGTGGGGTCCCCAGCAATCCTGACCACATACTTATCATGGTGGAGGAAGCCCGTCGCCTCCAAGGATGTGGTCCGGGGCCTCTCTGTGTCCACTGCAGGTTTAGTAAATGGGTTCTATAAGGTTCTATGAGGATCTGGTGATGGAGGGAGGTGAGGCAGGGAGAGTAGGGTGTGGAAGTTTGGCTTTCCATCTGTTTTGAAAAACCTGGGGCCATACTTGCTCATGCTGCATGGACTGAAACTGTTAGTATTTGTTGAGGATAGACTGCCTGCTAACTTAAATGGTCAGCAAATATATGTGATTAAAAAGTTTTTCCTCTGAAATCATAATCTGGGGATTCTGTAAATCAAGAGGTCCTGCAGGGGTCTCCCTTCATCCCAACCCCAAATGCTCCTTTTAAAAGATACCTGGGTTGGTCCTGATGAACTTGCTCGGATTCTCCTTCTGTTAGTGCTGGCTGCGGGCGGACAGGAGTCTTGTGCATTGTTGATTACGTCAGACAGTTGCTCCTGACCCAGGTATGGTAGGCCATCTGTGTGTGTGCAGTGTGCTCCACATCCACAAGGCCCAGCTCATACCACACTCCTCTCTCTGCCCTAGATGATTCCACCTAACTTCAGCCTCTTCAACCTGGTCCTCGAGATAAGGAAGCAGCGACCAGCAGCCGTCCAGACAGAGGTGTGAGCTGCGGTCTCTTTACACCCAAGGACACAGGCTGGGTTTCCATTCCCCTCCCCTTGTGTTCCCTTGTTGATGGCCCTCACCTCAACAGGAGCAGTACAGGTTCCTGCACCACACAGTGGCTCAGATGTTCTACTCAGCACTCCAGACCACCAGCCCCCACTACCAGAACCTCAAGGAGGTACAGAACCTATTCCCAATCTCTTCCTGCTCATCCTCAACACCCYCAAACCCCTGTACTCCTTCTAAGAACAGGCACTGTCTAAGATGGCTGTATGTGCCTCTGTCAGGCTCCCTTAGGAGGTTGTCCCCCTCCAGAATCCATAGTGATCCTCCTCCATTAGGATGCTGGCCATTTTCTTCCAAAGCTTCATGACTCCCCTCTCCTGTTTCCGCCCCAGAATTGTGCCCCACTCTATGATGATGCCCTCTCCCTCCGGACTTCTCCAGCCCTTCTTGCCTTACCCCGCCCACCAAGTGGAGTGCTCAGGTACTGGTGCCATCCTTTTATTCTTCCCTTTCAATTTCTCAGGCTCTAAGGCCAGCCCTTTACTCTCTTGAAAAACCAGCCCCTTTTTGCTGTTCAGTTCACCAAGTATTTACTGGCCCTTTCTTTGATCTGAACTCTGGGAACCCTCCCCGAGAAGACCCCTTTATCCAAGCAGTACTGTTGTCTCTGCGTCCAAATCAGTAATTAATTTGGCAARTATTTCCGAATGCCATTCACTTGGAGTCTCTTGTTGGGTGCTGTGCGCACAGTTAAACCTCCGCAGCTAACTTCACCCCACACCCTCGAAAGTCGCCCTGGGCTTTCCCTTCGGCTTTACTCAAATGCCACTATCTCGTATTTTGACTCAATAAACATTTACATGGAAATGATCACCCTTCAATACCAATCCGATTCACTTACCCCACTTACCGGCGGGGCGCTAGGGACTGAGACTCGCACAAACAGAACGAAAGACTCCTCCCTCAGCCTCGGAGCCAACCCGCCCCTTCCCTTCTCTCCCGCGGGAAGGAAGCCGCGGTTTGGGCTGAGCGTGCACACCACTCCGCCCTCCCTCCGAGCTGCCGTTTCACTTCCTCTGCACCCTCCGGCTCTGCAGGAGCATCTCGGTGCCCGGGGCCCCTACTGTCCCCATGGCCGACACCTATGCTGTAGTGCACAAGCGCCGGGCCCCCGCGGGCGCCGGGCCAGTGGCGCAAAAACACAGCACCGAGGAGAAGCCACTCTACAGCCAGGTGAAGTCACGCACCCAGCGTCCCGGGGCACAGACAGAGGACATGCGGGCTTCGCTGCCTGGCCGCGGTGAGTCAAGACCATAGTGGGTTTGGGAAGAGTCCAAACCTACTTGCCCTTTTCGGGACCCCATCCTTCTGGGCTCCGCAGTACGGGGTGGCCCTGGAGGACCCCATCCCCTGGCCAAGTAACCCAGTGTGGCCACGCCCCCGAAGCTGGCGTCAAGGTTTCCCTGGCCACGCCCCTTTTAGTTCTTGGTGCCATCCCGGAAGCTTCCGCGGGCTAGCCGCTGTAGGGTCCCAGTACAGCCTCAGGCTGTGTCATCTTGTTTGGCTAAGTAGTCCCCCAAAGGTGGATGTCACCCTCCCAACCTGGCCACACCTTTGGCATACACCCTTTCCAGGTAGGCACCCCCCCACACACCAGATTGCCTCCTGGGACCTAGAAGTCTGTGTCCCCATGCCAGGTGGAGGACTATGAGACTTCTTGAGCTGACCTGTGGGGGGATTTCCTGCCCACAGTTCCTGCTAATCAAAGCCCTGCTGGGCCTGATGCCTATGAGGACGTGACAGAGGGAGCTCAGACTGGTGGGCTAGGTAAGTTTGGTAGAACCTGGTTTGCTGGGACTCTGCAGCTTTGGATGAACCCCCAGAAGTTTGGGGTTTAGGAATGGGGTGTGGGGCTCAGGCTATCAGTGTCCGGTGGATGTGGCTGCAGAAAACCGCAACACCTCCAACTTGCGGAGGACCTTCCACAAGTTGCCTGCTTCTTCAGGCCTTAGAGTCTCTGTGAAACCTTATGGCACCCTTCCCGTCTCAGGCTTCAATCTGCGCATTGGAAGRCCAAAAGGACCCCGAGACCCCCCTGCTGAGTGGACCCGGGTGTGAGCTCTGCATCCATACCAACCTGTTTCTACATGTGTGCTTGAACTGCTGCTGGCCACCACTCTGCTGTGGGATATGTTGGGGATGGGATGCTGGGTCTGGATCCAAATWAAAATGTATTGGGGTAGGAATATGAGGGTTTTGCTCCAGTGATCAGCAGTCAAGACTTGAGGCTGGGTGACAGAGGTAGGAATTAATGCCTAGTGAGGCTGCCCTGAGAAGACCCTAAAAAGAACACTGGGAATGGGCACCACCACCACCCATTTCCCCCAGTTATGAAGCCGAGAATGGACAGATGGACTGCCAGAGACTTCCCCTCTCACTGCATAATAGGTGGCCCATCCTCAGTATCTGAGCCTTCTTCACTCAAAGAGATGGATCCACCTCCAGAAATGTGAATGGATCCCTAGCCATTCAGACATGTCCAAGCCAAGCCTAGCCACAGCCAAGAAGACTGACCCCAGACAGACAAGAAGATCCCCAGACAAATGGATCACCAATCAGACCCCAAAACAGCCAGACCTTCAGTGGGATAAGTCCACTGATGGACAAATGGACCCTACTGAGAGAGACCAACCAACAGCCTGAGAGATGAGTCTCAAGAGACCACTGAGCAGACAGAGCCCCTAAAAGACAGACCCCTCCACCAGCTAGACAGCCAATGGTTCCTAGCCTGGTCAGATACACAGACATCTCAGCTAGACAGACCCTAACTCAACCCCTAGGTGGACAAACTGACTGACCAACCTCCTAGCTGGACAGATTTCCAGTCAGATAAACACCAGCCACACAAACAGATCCTCGAATGCACAAATATCGCAGTCAGCTTGCCAGACTTGCAGCTCTCCAGACAGATGGATCCCCAGCAGGCAGGAGGTCCCCACCAACACAGAACCCCCGTTTCAATAGACACATTGATGTAGCTCCTGCTGGGCAGGCAACTGGGTGGACGTTTGTTATGTTTGGACATGATATGTTCCTCAAAAGCTCCTGTTAATGCAGGAATATTCAGAGGTAAATTGATTAGATGGTAAGAACTGTGATCTAATCAGTCCATCCTAGATTGAATAGACTGACTAGATTGCAATTGTAGACAAATGGGGCTGTGGCTGGAGGAGGTGGGTCATTGGTGGTGTGCCCTGGAAGGGTTGTTCTGCCAGTGGCCCTGCCTCTCTCTGCTTCTTTCTGCTTCCTGACCCTGCCATGAGCTGAGTAGCTTTCCCCTGTTGCTCCCTTTCCCCATGATGTGTTGCCTCACATTGGACCCAGAGCAATGGAGTCTGCCATCTGTGAACTGAGACATCTGAAAACATGAGCCGTAAATAAACTTTTTCTACTCTAAGTTTCCTGGTGGGTATTTTGGTCACATGACACAAAAGCTGACTCMCAAACATTAGGCAGTCAATTGGCCAAACAGATGGACCCTCAGAGATATATCTCAGCTTGAGTAGATCTTCCACCATCTCCACCATCCAGACCATCTGCCAGCCGAGTAGACATTGCAAACCAACAGATGCTTATGGCAGACAGTCTCTCTGGTATCAGATAGATGAATTCCCAGCCCATGAGATAAGTGGATTTCCCATTTGATGAATGAACCCTTAAGTTAGGTGACAAACTACCCTTAGCCAGAGATAAATGGACCCCCAGCTAGATAGATCCCAGCTAGATGAACACCAACTGATCAGACAGTTGATCCCAAATGAGTAGATACACATCTTCAGGTATTCAGATAGATGGACCCCTCCATGAAATCAGACCTTATCTAGACAGATCTCAGCCAGTCAGATGTCCCACCAGACTGACCCCTAGCTCTTGACCCAGATCACTAGACATATGTAGACTGCTGCTTAGCAGACACATTTGTAGTCAGCTAAACAGACCTCTAGCCTGTCAAACAAGAAGGACCTGCCACTAGCCAGACATACTGATGAGCCTCCAAGATAGACCCCACTGGAAAATGGAACCCAGTCACACTGACTCTTAGCTTGACAAGAATCAAGCTGACCCTTAAACAGATCTCTGGTTGGACAGACATGCAGACCTCCAGTTACAAACACAACAGCCAATCCGACGCCCAGGTACTTCCACTGATCCAGAAAGATCTCCAGCTGGACAGGTAGACACCTGAACCACTAGTCAGAATGTCAAACAGTGCCCCATCCAGAAAGACAGAACTTCAAATCAGACAGATCTCTAGGTGGACAAAAAGATAAGACTAAATTTATGCATAGTGCTTCCAAAATCCTGATTCTGCTCTGTGCTCCTCCCTCCCAATGTGATCTTCCTAGACAAGTCAGTGTCTGATATCAGGCTTATCCAGGCTCCTAACCATCACTGCTGGTACATTGTTCTCACCAGGCTGTTGGAAAGCTGACTTGCGTCCATGTTGTGCACAGAATGAGGCCTCTATGATGGGCAGGTACACACCCTTCACATAGTTATTATGAGAAGTCAGTGAAACAACAAATCAGGATCTCAGTTCATGATCCTCATGCTGTGCTTCATGAATGTCAGACCATAATTGGCTCTGGGTTCCCAGGTTCACCTTGGTCCCGACACAAGCCATTTGCTTTTTGGGTGTTGCTAAAAGGAGGATGAAATTTGCTTTCCTTGGCTACAAAGCTTGCTGCAATGACTTAAGTGCTTTAAGATCTCTGCCCAAGAAATAGCACAACCAACAGAAACCAGGGAGGGCAGAGAAACTTTGGGGTTTTTCAGTGTCACAGGAAACTGGTGTCACCATGAGTCCAAACTCTTAGATGGAAGTTGGGGCTGATTATGTTGGAGAGAGGCAGGAAGGAGGTCCCAGGTTCCTGGTAGCAGAGGAGGGCCAAGCAGAGACCAACCTCAAAGTCAGAAATATTACTTAAATGGATCTGGAGGGGAAAAGCAATTGTGTCCTGAAAGGCAGGGGCTCTGACAGATTGAGGAGACATGTTCTCTCCAGAAAGGAAACAGAGGTCAATTAGAGCTGCCTCTTGGAGTCTATCCTGGAGGCCAGAAACCAGAACTATGGGGTTGAAGTTGACAGGACTGTGCTAAAATGTTTTAGGGATTAGGTTTGAGCTGAATAAAATGTATGTAATTCTCAGCTGCTCATTCTGGATAGAAAGAAGAGAGGTTCTAACCAGGTGTGGTGGTGCACAGCTGTAATCCACAGCAACTTAGAAACTGAGGCAGGAGGATCACAAGTTTGAAGCTAGCCTGGGCAACTTAGTGAGACCCTGTCTCAAAATAACATATAGCCTAGAGGTAAAGTACCCCTGGGTTCAATCCTCAGGCAAGGGAGAGGGAAGACAAAGAACAGTTCTGCTGAAATTGAAGAGAAAGAACTGTGTCCCTGTGACCCACTGAGTAGGAAGACGCCTAGCAACACAAAATAATCAGTAGGGTTTTTTTGTGTGTGTATGCAGTGCCAGGGATTGAACTTGGGAACTCATGTATGGTAGGCAAAGTGCTCTTCCAGTAAGCCATACCCAGGCCCAGCAGCTAGTAGATTTGCAGAGGCAGAGGATACAGGAAAGTACCAGGCTGACTCTGTCCATGTTTTATTTGTGTGTGTGTGTGTGTGTGTGTGTGTGTGTGTGTGTGTTTTACTGTGGATCAAATCCAGGGCCATATACATCATGCTAGGCAAGCACCCTAGTACTGAATTCTGCCCTGAAAATTAAAGCAACAGTTTAGCTCCATATTACAGGTAAAATATTCTTTTAGATCCATATTACAGGTGAAAATGAGATTCAGAGAATATGACTGTTAATTTGAAGTTCATACCTAATCTAGCAACACAGAGACCATTGATTCCATGAAAACCATGATGGTCCTAGGCAGGGTGACACATGCCTGTAGTCCCAGAGCCTGTGGAGACTGAGGCAGGAGGATCACAAGTTGAAAGCCAGCCTCAACAAGTTAGCAAAGCCCTAAGCAACTTAGCGAGTCCTGTCTCTAAGTAAAATGTAAAGAGGGCTAGGGATGTGGGTCAGTGGTTAAGTGCCCCTGGGTTCAATTCCCAGTATCCCCCACAAAAAGTAATAATAATGGTCTCAGTGTTTGGTATAGAAATATATGGCTGTGGGCAAATAAGACCCTAATCTTCAAATGAATACTAATAGCTAGCACTAACTGGGTGCTTTGTATGTACATAGATGGACTCATTTGTCTTCAGAGTAATCCACAATAGAAGTAACTTTGTTACCTCTCACTTCACAGAACCCAGTAATAACTGCAGGGAACAGGATATCACTTAATGTTTCTATAAACTCTTTTTAAAATATGTTTTTTAGTTGTAGATGGACACAATACCTTTATTTTATTCATTTATTTTTATGTGGTGCTGAGGATTGAACCCAGTGCCTCATAGTTGCTAAACAATCACTACCACTGAGCTACAACCCCATCCCCACCATAAACTCTTAAAGGCCCTATATCACAGTAGTCAGTAGCTTGAACTCAATCCCTTTCTAGTTGTGTGAACTTGAACAAATGTCATAATTTCTCTCTGGCTCAATTTCCTAATCTGTGAAATGGGGATAATAAAGTGACCTTTATCATAGGGTTGCCACATATGTAATTTTTCAGAGCAAGTATGGATCTGCTGTATTATCTGCTAAATAATAAATGAAGACAGATGTTTGGATTTTTCAGGAATTATCCCCAGAATAAATTATTTTTGTTTTGTTTTGTACCAGGGATTGGACCTAGGGTTGCTTAACCACTCAGCCACATCCCCAACATTTTTAAAGTTTTTTTTGTTTGTTTGTTTTTTTAAGACAGGTTCTCACTAAATTGCTTAGGCCCTTGCTAAAATGCTTAAGATGACCTTGAACCTGTGATCCTCCTGCCTCAGCCTCCCTAATCGCTGGGATTATAGGCATGCACCACCATGCCTGGCTAAAACTGAATTTTACATAGTTGGAATAATATTGAAATCTCCACTTTAAACATAAATAAATGAAAGTTAAGTTGATTACGCATTTTTCTGTTTAAAAATCCAACAGATCTAATATTTGATAATAGTTTCATTTTAAATCAGTGGGCAAAAATAAATAAATGTATTCAACCATAGCTTTTACAATTGTTATGTAGCAATTTCAGAAAAATTTGAGCCTTACATAATACTTTACAGAAGAACAAATTCCAAATGCATCAAAGATTAAATGTAAATTAAATATTAAACGATAGAGCCAGGAGTAAGTGGCCCATCCCAGCTTCTTGGGAGGCTGAGACAGGAGAATTGAGAGTTCAAAGACAGCCTCAGCAACTTAGCAAGCCTCTAAGCAACTCAGGGATTGAAACCAGGGGCACTGAACCATATATATATTACAAAATATACACAAAAACATATTTATATATTATATATATATATATATATATATACACACACACACACACAAATACATATTTATTTATGTATGTATCAGTGAGGAAACTGGCGTTTTTATATATGGCCACTGGGTGTATAAATTTTTAATAGATACTTTAATGGTATCTATTAAAATTTAAAGAACCCATATCCTTTGAAACATAAATTTCATTTCTAAGAATTTATTTTAATGCTACTCAAAACTTCAAAATGACTACAAAATGATTACAGCAGGTTATCTACTGCAGTACTGTCTGTAGTCCAGAAGAATGGGAATAATTTAAACATTCCCCAGTGGGATCCTGGCTATATAAGTGCTAGGATGGAATATTATGAAACTGTTAAAAAAAAAAAAAAGGAGGAGGAGGAAGAGGAGGAGTGGGGGGAATGGGGGGAGGGGAGGAGGAAGAGGAAGGGGAGGATGCCTCCATAGGTGTGGGCAAATCACATTGTAAAATGAAAAAAAAAAAAAAAAATCCCAGCACGATGATGATGTGCTTGTAGTCCTAGTTAGATGGCTTTAGCTAGGGAGTTCAAGGCCAGAAGGCCAGCTTAGGTCTATAGTCAGATCCTATCTCAATCAATCAATATATAAAATGATTAAAAATAAAAATGAAAAGATAAAAGAATATAAGATGYTCTTTTAGAAGTCCCATGAGCAGTTCTTCTAATCCTGGGGTCTCTGGACCACTGGCAGGCTTGCTCCTGAGCCCTGAGGTGCTACCCTGCAGCTTCTCTGTCCCCACATCCACCACTGTTCTTAATCGATGCTTCCTGCCTTCAGTAGCTACAGTCTTAGTGAAGCAGAAAGTAGATTGAAATGAACTCCCGTCTCCTCCCCCGGCTGCCTTCCATCAGTGCAAGATGGGGTGATGTGTGAATACCTATTCCTACATTTGGTGTGTATTTTTCATGGGTTCCCAGAGTTTTCCCTGGGTGATTAGGTAT